TCTTAATACTCTAGAAGGAATAGCTAGTAAGATTTCTCTTAACGCTCCAAAAAAAAAAAAATAAAAATAAAAATTGTAAACAACTAAAAAAAAACAGGATAATTATGCCTATAAAATCCCTCAGTAGTTCCTAACTTTATCGCCACCACTGTCGTGGTTCCCCTCCAATAAAGCTCATAAGGTTACTAATATGTATGTATGTATATATACGTAGGTTATTTAAATATGTGCATATGCATAACCTTAAATGAATGAAAAAAAAGCGTTGTGTTGTTACTCACCGAACTCTCCCTCGACGAAGGCGCCCGCATCCATGGGAAAGGGTGGCTGGAACGTAAACGTCAAAAAAAAAACTCAACAACTACATGCATACATAGGTATAACCTTTCCAGTAGCTGGCATGAACAATTTAAAGTAAATCCTCTCTCATTACTAGATTACCTACTATCCAGCATGGACTACCACACGCCGCGGCTACACTATTTTTAACAAAAAAAAATGAAAAACAAAAACTTAAAATTATCGACTTACTCCACAAAAACTAAGATCGAATCTGCGGGACTGCCGCGGAAAATTAATAAAATAATTAATTCAATAAATGATAAAATCGTATGGTGAGCAAAGAAATGAAAAACTTAAAGAAACTAACCTCAAACTATTGCTTAAACCTAAGGAAGTAGAAAAAAAAACAAAAAAAAAAACAAAAACGTGAAAACTCAGCTAGCTAGCATATGTACAAATTTCCCCGTGGTGCTAAGTAATTCATGCGGCTTAAATTTATGTGTTTATATGCATATATGTATTTCTATGTATGAATATGTACGGAAGGCAAAAAAAATTCATGAAAATCATCCGCGCCAAATGATGAATTTTTCTAAATTTAAGTAAAGGTGAAGCTCGAAAAGTCAAAACAAAGTTAATTCAAACCAAATAAAATAAAATCAAAAAAACTGAGTGCAAAGAAAAAACTAAAGAAAAGCAGGCGATCATCCGCGAGAGCGTGGTGAGATTTTCGGTAGGGGCGTTTTGGAACTCCTTATCCACTTCCAGCGTGGTGTCCGGCGCTCTGGTTGTGGGTCGTTATGAATATACATACATATGTTCCCCGTTTCCCCTTTACAGCTTTCCAGTCTTTCTCATAGGCTCTAT